AAAAATTATTTTATAATTTTATTGATATGCTAAACATATCTTTAAATATTATTTTTATTTTTATTTTTATTCTATCGAAAATCATTTCATCATGCCACGGTCAGGCACTCATTGTCATAAGGGCTTAAGGCTGGCTGTGATGGTCCTCCGTGAAGCGTTCTTTGTTATGGGACTCTGGCGCTGGCGCCAAAAAATGATGGTCCGGCATCCGGCCGCTTTAGGCGGTGCGCCACTGGAGGGCTGGTGTTGCATGCAACCAATTTTTTTGGCTGTTTTCGGCGGCGATAGCGATGATAGACTGATGGCCTGTTTGGATTGAGTGTGTAATTCATTTTTGAGTTAAATAATCGATTGTATAAAAAAATTATCTAAACAACCAACTAAAATCAAAATTATTGAGTCAGAATTACATTTTAAAATAAATTTTGAAAAGTTGTTTATAGATTTAATTTTATTATTAAATAATATATTTTACTTTTTAAATAAAGTTTAATAAATTTAATAATATTAAATACAGTTTTATTAATAATTTAATTTTAAAAAGTAATGTCTTTTTATAATAATTTATATAGTTAAAATTAATTTTAAAAAATAGATATCTAAATAAATTACGTTATAACATAATTAATTATAATTAAAATTAAAATCAATCATATTAATTAATTATTTTTATAATAAATTATATACAACTGAAATTTAAAGGGACACTAATAGTCATTGTGGACTCACAAATTTTTTTCAGCCTTTATATATACACACACACTCTAAAGAAACCAACGATTGTTTGGCATTGTGCTAATAAACTAGCGTGTCTCCGCTCACTCTCCGCTGCATTTTTGGGTTGGCAATTTAAGCAAAACTACAAAAGTTTTAGATTTTTTCTTAAAAAATAACACTGTTTTTAGAATATTATATATCAATCATTCACTACAAATAAATTTAAATAGTGCTTGTAAAGTGTAAACGCACATTCTTGCAATCTATTGTTGTGAGAGTTGCTTGATGCATGTTAATTCAAAAATGAACACATTATCAATACTCCCTCCCGTAAAAATATCATCTTATGTGTAAGTCTGTAAAAATATCATCTTTCTTTTTTATCATTTTAATTTTTATATTAAAATACTAATTGATTTTGCTCATCTCTTTTCTCTTTCTCGGCCAGGCCGAGTGCGGATCCACTGTTATGTTGAGGTCACTTTGGAAAAAATTATCAGTTAGTAAGAAAATTTTGCAACTTTACGGTCCTTATTCTTGTTATTTTGCATTCTGAATTAAAAAAAAATATTTAAATTCAAAAACTCATTAAATATATAATATTTTAATAATTTAAATAAAACATGAAGAGTATGTTTGCAATAAAAGATTATATACTATTTAATATAATCTTTTAAAATCAAAAATGATGATCAATCTATTTATATTATTACAATTTTAATCCTATCATAATCACTAATTTTAATTATTAAATTATTATTTTATTAAATCATCCTGCACTCCCTAGCCCTGAGTCCTAGCTCCGCCATTGCCAAACCATTAGTTAATACTTATATAATCAAATATACTAAAATAGTGTTTGAATTAACGGATTTAAATTTAAATTTAAAATTTAAAATTTAAAATTTCATATTTAAAATTCAGGTATTTAAAATATTTTGTTTGGATAATATAAAAAATTTAGAGAAAAAAATAGATAAGGGGAGTTTCAAAACAAAAGGAGGAAATTGAGAATGATGAGCTTATTTCTATTCTTAATTGGTGAGATATGAGAGTTATAAAGATAATGAAACATGGTTTGAATTTGGATCGAATCAAGATTTATGAACTTTTATGAATCCAAATGAAGAATTTGATACAAGTTTCAATTCCAATCCAAATCCAAATATGTATTAATCAAAACACACCTTTATTGGTAATCATGAAAGAATTACATAGACCCTTCCCGTTGCCTAATACTACTCATTTCATACCATATTACAGGATATCTTTGAAAAGTTTTACTTAATTTAAAATATAATATAATAAATAACTTTCACAGTTATTTTTTAAATATATACCTACTTTATTTATGACCATCTGTATCTCAAATTATAAGACACATTTAGATAAAATCTTACATACCAATAAAACTCATTAAATGCACTTTATAACCTTACATTTTCAAGATAAAAATATAAATTTTTTAAAAATACCCTTCATTTAATGCTCTATCAATGAAAGAATATTAAAGATAGAAAATATGAGAAGGGTAATATTAAAAAATATTATTAATAAAATTTTATTTTTTTATCAAAGTATCTTATATTTTGAGATACTAAATTTTCATTAAAAATGTTTTATAATTTAAAACAAAGGAAATGTTATTTTTTGAAAACATGTTGTATTCAAAATTCAATTGTCATTATTAAGACAATATATATGATATTTAATTATAGTATATATAATTAAAAAGATATGAATTTTTAAAAAGATTAAAGTTTCACCTAACATTTTTTTTGAAAAACGTAAAATAATTATCAATGTTTCATGTTGTAGTCCAAAGAAAATCTCAAGCAATGGATGAAGCTAGGAGCGTGTATTAAAAAAAATTATTTTGCGCTTGAAAAAACTATCTTCCCTATTTTGCGCCTAATAACTATTACAAAGTAGCTTGGGCATTCGGAGGATATGAAGGAATGAAAAAAATTGACAGTTGAATAATGGAGGGTATTTTTATAAACATCACATTAAATTAAATATTCAAAAGAATATGTAATATTGCGTGTACTTGGTAACAAAGATTCCTCTAATTTTATAGCTTAATTAACGGATGAAGTATAATTGACATGTTTATTATCACTAATAATTAATTTAACTATTTTTCTTAATTCATGTAACATGATTGATTAAAAGGATCCTTTGCATAAAATTAGAGAAAGTAGTAATTTTTTATTATTTAAAAAAAAAAAAAAGAATATGAGCAAGAGCAAATTGGCTGTGTAAAATAAAATGTGAGCTGTCTAAAACAGTAAAACACGAGGGCAGGCAGGGATAACGTATGCATTAGCTGTACAAGTACAACTGGCTCTTCCGTGGTCTAATTATATTTTTGTAACCAATCAATGTTAAGCTACATCGATTGTTTTTGGCTAACAGTTATCACGATTGTTGTTAAACTCTCAAATTAATTTAATGAGTTTATCCTTTTTTACATTTTTAGTTTATAAAATTATATTAAATTATTTATAAATTTAAACAAGATAAAATTTAATTAAACTTGCAAGTTGACTATTTAAATTTATAATTTTTATATTTTTAATTCATAAAATCATGCTAATTCATTTATAAACTTGTTAAGCGAAATATGTATATATTATATAGAATTCAGTTCATAAAAGCAGTATGATTCAATTCAATAAAAAATAAAATTAAAAAAATAATATTAATATTAATAAAAAAGAAATAGAAAACACTCCATCCGTTAAAAAATATAAGTAATTTTTAATTAAATCTCACCCTTCAATAAAGTAGTTACTTATTTTTCAATTAATTTTATCTTTTTATATTTATTTCTATTAAATAATCTACAATAAATATAAAATTATTATCAATATGGACACTTTTAAAAAAAAAATAATGATTATATCTCTAAAGGCTAAAAATATTTTATATTTTTTAATATTAAATTTTTTACAAAATATCTTACATTTTTTAATAGAGAGAGTGTCAAATATAAGTTATTTTATTTTGAAATTTTCTTATTGGATATAGTAATCTATGAATATAGATGAATTTAATTTCAATAATTTATATTTAAATTAAATTACGGTTATATTTTATATTTTAATTATTTAATCATATATATTTAAAAGCTAATTATTAATAGAGGTAATTTAGATTTGAGTTTATATCCTTGTTATATGAGTTTATTTAAACTCATGAATTTAACAACTTTATATATAACTATATAAATTCGATGATGAATTTTAAAACTTGAAAATTTTAATAAAATTACTTGTATAAACGTTTTTTTTTTTGGCGAACGTGTAAACATAATTCGAGATCAAATGAATTTATTAAATATATGATTAAAAATTGTCCCAATAAAAAATGTTCTGATTGTTAACTATGGTCATTTGTGGCAAATTTAAACTAATTCAAATTAAATGATTTCAACAACCATTCTATATATTTAGTCTGAATCGATAAGAATTCACGTCAGAATTTTTGAATTAATATTTGTATACAGAATGAACGATGAAATTCAAATGAACAAAGTTAATAAATTTGATTAACTTCATGATTTCTGGCCTAAAAAGTAATTGTGAAATAGGAGCTTTGGTCGAATATATGGCAATACGAGTAAAACATTGAACTCTTAAATGTGTAATAAATTGCGAACAGATAATATTAAATCGTAGTAGACGAGTAATTAAATATGGGTATTTAATTCAGATTACATTGCCAATCAATCATGGATGATGGCATTGGGTAATTGATAGGATAATTATCAATCTTTTTGCCAACCAATTTATTATCAATTCAATTTATTGTTAAACATTTATTAATATTGATATTACTTAAAAATTCTAGTAATTTTGTTCTTTGACATATATTGCCAAACAAATCAATCTTCCAGTAAATTTTGTTTGACGTAAAAAATTTAAAATAAAAATAGTGCGAACCCACCAAACACTTTGATTAACTGGTTAAGAAATTGATTCTCTTTAATCAAAAGTTTGGAGTTCGAGTTCTAAATATATAACAATAATTAAATTTTTAATAAAATATGTATAATTTAAAGAGGTACTTACAAATTACCGATCCGATTAATCTAAGATCAAAGAGCTACAATAAGAAGGGGGAAGAGAACAAAAAATAGTCCTAAAACGGCATGCGACGCCATCAATACTGATCCGTTTCTAGCATAAAGGCGTGCCACGTGCAATACATTCACAGCTTGGTAGCTTTTTAAATATGAACCTAAACAATTTCATTTTGAGCCTTCTCTTCTCTAAACACTCACTACTCTGCAATCTCATCTTTCTTTCTCCTTCAGAGCATCAACAATGGCTTCTTTCTTCTCCATGCCCACTACTGTGCCTCTCTCGCTGTCGCTCATGCTCGCTTTTCTTCTTATTCCGTCATCTGAAGGCCGAGATTACTTGGTCGGAGGCGCTGAGAATGCTTGGACGCTGCCTCGTCCCTCTCCGGATTACCTCAGTCACTGGGCCCATAGGCGACACTTCAGAGTCGGCGATGCTCTCTGTAAATACTCTCGCTATTCTTCTCTTTTCGATCTCCAGATCCTTTTCTGTTTTAATTTCCTTATCTGTCTTCAGCACGTCGTCGCTGCTTCGCCGTTCGTTTTTCTTCAGCTTTTGGTAGAGGAAACGATAACGGTTACATCTGATTAGATTTGAAGCTGTTTTTGAATTCTTGATGGTGATTATAAATGCTGTCGATAATGAATGCGCAGTATGGAAATACGATCATAAAACAGAGTCGGTGCTGGAAGTGAAAGAGGAAGATTATAAAAGCTGCAACGTAGCGAATCCGACATCAAAATACAATGACGGAGAAACCAAGGTAGAGTTGAAACGCCGAGGTTCATTCTACTTCATTAGTGGGGCAGACGGTCATTGCCAGCAGGGCTTAAGGCTGGATCTGGTGGTTCGCTCCGATCAGCACGGGGGTCATGGGTCGCCGTCGCCTTCTCCGTCTCCTGCACCTGCACCTTCTCCATCTCCGTCACCGACACCTGCACCTGCACCTGCACCGGCAAAGAATGGCGCCGCCGCTTTAGGCAGTGGCGGATTCCTTGGCCTTGTAATGGGTATGGGCGTTACGTTGGTTATGATGATGATCTGATGTGAGCATGCGTCTCTTGTGATTCAATAGCCTTAATTTTTGCTGTCTGTTTGTGAACATATCTGAACTAGCCACTAGGCTACTAGCTGGAATTGCGAGAGATTTACTAAGTATAATTAACTTAAAAATTTCTCAATAAAGTTATTATTTGAAATAATCAATCAGTTTTTTGACCAATTAAGTCTCTTGTCTTCTCCGCAAAACAAATTTTTTACTTGGTCCTTGTCCCAATTATAACACACTTATTTTATTAAAATAAAAAATTGGCTGTTAATTCATTAAACATGTTTTTGAATGAATTTTCTAGTGTTACTCTCATTAAAAATAAGAAGAGAGAGAGGGTACGCAATATAAGATAAGTCATAAAATTGAATTTATAAGAAAAATAAAATTTAAAAATAATAACGAATAACTATTTATGTGCGAAGGAAAAAAAAAAAGAAAAGAAAAACTTCTAAAAGGTTCTCCCGGAGGGAGCATTTTTGTTTTATTTTAAATGTAACCGAACATCTCATATTGGCTTGGAGAAATTAATTTGGCTTTTCATTTTGGTATTAATGTCTTTGAAATGTGGTATTTCTTGTTTCCCATTTTATAAAATATTTTTTTAGATAAAATTGTAAATACCAGTACGTTCAATTAAATATAATTTAAAATTTTAATTTCTTAAAAAATATGAACTTCAAAAAATATTATTTTTTAATAATGAAAAAAGAGACAGATATTTGAGAAGTGAAATGATAGAAATAATATTATAATAAGTTTTACGAATATAATGAATCATTAGTTTTTTTTTCAAAATATTTTATATTATGAACATCAAATCATTTTAATTTTTTTTTTGTGATTAGTGAGTATTAAACACGTCAGATTAAAAATTGAGATATTTTAATTGTTAAATAAAATCCTTAAAGCCGGTCACAAATTGTTACTGTGTTTGTCCGTCAAACTGCGTTTAAACAAACAAATAAATTCTATAGCTACAAATTAAGGTTGACGTGAACGTTAAAGGCTCTCGTTATTTGTACAAATAGTTAATAATTTAAATATATGAATGTAATAATTTAATTAGGAAAGGTTTATCTTTTGCTTTTCGTACATATAATATCTATTATCAATAGAGTTTACTTTTTATACTATAAAAAATAACATAACCAACCGAAAAAGAAAAAAAAGAAGCTTGATTTTTTTCCGTTTTGACTTTCAATCTATGAGCAATATATATTAGTTGTAAATCTCTCCCGACGCATTGTAAAGTCAATATTGTTCTACGTATCAGGGTGTTTGAAATCTCTCTTCATAACACTTTCCATTCATTTCACCTCCACGCTATATAAATTAATTTGCATTGTAACATTTGCAATGAATTCATTAACTATTTACACATCAACAAACAATTTATAAAATATTAACACTTACTATCTATTTATAGATTCCACTCACTTCTCGCTGTCAATTTTAAGCAAAGAAATAAAAGGGCGGTTTCGTGATGAAGGTACATACGGAAGCCATCTCGTGTAGAAAAGGTCAAACAGTACTTAATTACTGAACGCAGGAGTCTCCCAATTCTCTCTTTGTTAAACACTCCGAAACTTTTTTTCATGGACGACAACTGCCACGTGTCAATCCCACAAAAGCGTCCAGGGTCCTCCACCCTCCAATTGTACACGGTCCCATTATTTGTCGCCTCGTGTTATTCTCTCGCACCAATCCTCTCTCCCAAACACCAACACATATAAAAACCACACAAACCCATCAAAGAGACAAATCGATGTAAAACAATCAATATCAAAACAAGATCCTTCTCACAACAACAAGTTTGAGATCATATATATATATATATATATTATTCAGTTCAGTATAATATGGTTGGAGGAGGGAGAGAGAAGATGGCGGGAACAGAGGCAGCTGAGAATAAGGGGGCGTCTTCTTCTTCTTCTTCTTCTTCGTCATCGGGTCGACAACATTCGACAGAGGTACTGAACCAACGTAAGAAGCTGCCAGTGTGTCCGATGAGAATGGCTGTTGCAGGGTTTGCAGCAACAGTGGTGTTGGGTTACGTGGTGTTGTACTCCAAGAAGAAGCCTGAAGCTTCGGCCATGGACGTCGCCAAGGTTACCACCGGAATGTCCACTCCCGACGACACTCATCCTCGTCAATAGGACCCTTTCTCTGATCTTGTACTCCTGTTTTTGCATGGCTCAATTTATTGCCTTTAGATTATATATATACATATATATATATATATATATATTCCAAGTTACTCTTTTATATGTCAAGGTAAATTTATCTAATTGATCTTGATCTCTTGTTTTTCAAGCGTCGAGAAAATACTTAATGCTGGACTTCATAGCAAATTAATTTCTTTCTTCGGGAAAATATATACAGTATTTTTCTTTTCTTTCATAATTAACCATTTATTGTATATTATACATATACTCTACGATGGAAGACTTATTTTTTTAGCTACGACTAAAAACAATGACAATATTTACGGTTCTCGTCCCTAAATTAAAAGTGAATGTTGTTTTATTTTGCCTTGATTATTTTTTTTTTGTAGTAGAGAAAAAAAATCTCACATCTAATAATTAAAAAATAAATTATGAATATATAAAGTTCAGAAGTAACTGAGTGATTTAAGTTATTTCTATAAAATAATAAGCAATGTTTAAATTGACATGCTTAATATAAAAAGTTGACATTTTGTGGCTTAATTCCCCTGTGTCTCAAAATCATGCTTGCTTATTCCCTCCAAGCTAGTAATTAATTAAACATCCTGATCTTGTATCCAAAAATAATAATAGTTTATGAACATATCGGGGAACATCATGATTCTCCGACGATCCACCATAGAAACATGATGATTTTGTGCTTGCATCGCCGCTCTCTTAGGAGGATTTTTTTTTATATTTTAAATAATGACATTTTATTGACTTGCAATTTGCATCAATGCTTATTTTTAAATCATCATTCTCACTAATATTTTTTTTATATAAAATTCTCACTAAATTTTACTGCAATGTGATCCTCTAATCTTATCTAAAAAGCTAGCACTTCCAATATGATTTATCAAATCAAAGGAAATATTAAAATTTATTAATTTTATTTAAAAATTTAATAAGTTTTTAATTCCACTCCTATTAAAATATATATACTTCAGTAGAAATTTTTTTATATAGACTCAACGTACCACATCATCTATGTTCTCTATGCTCTGAAGCAAGTAAACACATTAAAATAAATTATGTATATTATACAAATCAATTATCATACTATAAATGTAAATAAATTATACGACTGATGATGATAGAAAAAAAAAGGACAATTAATTAAAGATTCACTCTATTTTGAAAATAAAATTATAAAAAATAATGACACTTAAACTTTTATTTAATTGAACCCATTATAACATAGTATGTTTATATAAAATTATAAAATTGTTTTATAAATAAAACAAAAAAAAAACCTTCCCTTTCAACGATTAATACATGAGTACATTGATGAAATAGAAATGAAAAAATTACATACAAATTTCATACTCCCTTCATTGATGAAGAGTTAGGTGTTAAAAAATATAAAATATTTTTAATCTTTCAAGATGTAAACATTGTCTTTATAATTATTATAGGGTGTTTAATAGGAATAAATATAAAAATATAGAATTAATTTAAAAGTATATAATTATTTTATTGAGAGTGATATTTAATTAAAAATACTTTACATTTTTAAATGGAGAGGGAGTATAATATATTTAAATAATATAAGAATTATTGATAACTTAATAAAAAAATAACAACACATTTAATTGTCATTTTTCTTTTCTTAGTTGTCAATAAATTTTGTGGTGCTTAATTGGTTTGCCTGAAATTTAAAGCAATGTCATTGAAATTGGACTGAACCAAACGGGTTTAACCGGTTTGATTGCCACCCATTGAACAAAATAGTTTGGTTCAACCAGTTGAACCAATCCTTGAACCAATCTGGCATTTGACTTGAGTTGACTCAGATTGAACCGGCCGGTTTTAAGAGAACCGGCTTTGATTCGGAGATCGGACTCGAGTCAACTCGATTCAAAGCCAAAAAAATTTAGACTATGTTATTTAGATTTATAATTTCTCTTCTGTAACCACTAATTCTCTCTTTTTCTCTCTTTTTTAATCTCTCTTTTATGGCCTAAATTTAATTTCTAACTTCTCCTTCAATCTTTGCCTCCAACTCTAGAAATCCAACCTTTAATATCGAGACTGAAAGCTTGTAAGTCATGATATAATGGCATACCTCTAGCTTCAATATTTTCTTTCAAGAGCACAAACTTGTATTGACATGCCTTTACTTCTAACTTCAACGGTTCAAATATCTAACTTTTGGAATGAGATACCAAGCACTATTAACAAATTAATATTTTATTTATATAGTTATACATATAAATATTATTTTTTATTTAATTTTTATATTTTTGGTTTGACTGCTGATTTAATTGATTAGATCATAAAAATTACGACCTGTTAGTCTTTTCCGTTTGATATCCAAAATGGGTTTCAAAACACTGATTTAAAGCAATGGTCCCAAAGAAAATGCCATTTCTTACGCGAACATAGCGGGCGGCTACTGCATGTGCTTGCCGATAGCAGTTCGGTTCGTGCAGGCATCGCCGTTTCCGCAGTTCACTAAAACTGACAGTTTCTTAGCTCTCCCTCCTTCTCTCTCTCTCTCTCTCAGAAGGATGATGTGAGCCTTCCGGAGATTCCGCTCGGCGATCTTTCTGGTTCTCTCCTTCTCTTGCTATGCGATTCTACCGCACCTATTGAAAGATCGTGCAATTGTTTTCAAGGTCTAATTCTATTCTCTTTTTACTTGCATTTTGATGAAAACCAGTGTTAGAGTTCCCAGATTTACTTCGGCTTATTTCTTGTGGCTGATGCTGAACTTTTCATACTGGTGCAGCTGTTGAGAGTTGAGGCATTTTATAGTAATATTTTTTCTTTCTTTGTCTTTTAAAATGAATAATTTGAATTCGTTCTTTTGATGTATATGTTGATTTGACTTTATGAACCGAGAAAATACAGGTTCTTCTCGAGTCTTGACCCAATTTTTTCGGTTCGGGTGGAGAGGTTCCGGGGTCTGATGTGAGGTTATTTCCCAGAAATAGCA